ACACACACACACACACACACACACACACACACACACACACACACACAAAGACACATTCCCAATGTAAGGGACATGGCATATTCTCCCAAATAGTTGTGCTTTAGAACTACATTTCCATGCAAACACATCTGCACAAAGATCTCACATCTACACATCGATAATGCCTCAAATAATAACCACAGGTATTTGCAACTAACAATATAATCTCTGTGGGATTAACAATCCAAATAAAAGATGAATGAATTCAGCCTCCGGCCACACTTACTCAACCTCAATGCCTTCATATTTCAAAAAAGAGATTTATGTCAAACAATCACTGATTTCAGACCTGGCTGTGGATCCCAGAGGGGACAGTGAAACATTTTGAACAAAAACCCGAAATAAAAAAAACAGAGTTTATGAGTAGATCAGATCAACAACAATCTCCCTTACTCCACTCTGGGTTTTATATTTTCCACTTACAGCTGAAAAAATTCCTGCACCAGTTCATGCCATAGAATTAATTTACAGCTTTCAATGTGTTTTCTTGTATAATAGAATGCACAAGATAAAGTAAAATTTATGCTAATATTTCACTTTCATACAGTTGATGCAGTAATATTGTGAAATATTACAATTCAATACAGCTGTTTTCTATTTAAATAATTTAAGTAATAAGTAATTTATTCCTGTGATTGTAATGCTGAATTTTCAGCAGCCATTACTCCAGTCTTCAATGTCACATGATCTTTCAGAAATATTTGGTGCTTTTTTCAGAATTCATCAGAAAGTTCAAAAGAACATGATTTAGCTATTTATTTGAAATAGAAATATTTTGTAACATTATAAATGTCTTTACTGTCACTTTTGATCAATTTAGAGCATCCTTACTAAATCAAAAATATTAATTCTTTAACAAAACTGAAAAATATTATTGTATAAAGTTGTAAAATACAAGAAATAAAGTCACAATTCATAGATATCCAGAGAAAACCAAGAAGAGGGTGAAAAGGCAAACCATGCAACTTACATAATCAATACCGTAAACAAAATGTGATGTTTGTCATGTAATCTGTGCACCTGGCTACAACACCCTACCCCAGCATTTTTGACCGCAGCCCCACCGATCTAAGAGCAAGACCCCCTAGCTGCTTTACATGCAGTCATGTGGCTCTGAAAAGCTTTCATCTGCACGAGCGTCAAGTCCTGCGGGCGTCTATAAAGATGGGGGTGAAGTTTCAGTTTCCACAGTTAATTGTGCCGAGTGGAATGATGTGGCTGTTGCTCGTGAAGCTCACTAAACCAGTTATCAAAGGAAATTCTCCTTAGGGAGGACCAGAGAGACATGCTTTGATGATGACTGCATTTATAAACCGTTTTAAAAAATCTCTCTTGGGTGGTCTGACAGAAACATCATGTATGGATTACCCGAATTAGACACGTGCGTGTGGCATCAAGTGACGGCACAATTCAGTTGTTATGAGTAACAGTAACACTAGCGTATTATTAGATAACACAAAAATGAACCAGTGATTACAGTATATCATATGAAGTATAGTACAGTGAGTATATCATTATATACTTTTTTAGCTGGAAACCCAATAAATTCATGCAAAATTCAATTAAAAATTAGAATGCACAAATTATTATTATTAATTATGCATGTTAATCTTAAATAACACTGTTAAATATAATCTTTAGCAAATCTGATGAATATCCATGAATTTCCATTTTTCATACTGTAGATTATAATGTTGTGATGACTTGTAGCATTTAAAATGCTTGATTTTTTTATTTATTACGCAAAATATTACAGCATTTTAATATTAGTCTTTTTTTGGTTATCAGTCATAACATGAAAATAATTACTGGCTTAATTGCTATCAGTCAGAATTTTAATATTCCTAAAATATATTAAATAACCATGTGAAATGCCTAATTTTTGCATAATCAAATGACCTAATTAATAAAAAAATTAAAGGCTATTTGAATTTGAATGCAAACCAAAAGATTCAGCATTAATAGCGAATGGACTCTTTTATTTATATATATATATATATACAGTGGGTACAGAAAGTATTCAGGCCCCCTTCAATTTTTCACTCTTTGTTATATTGCAGCCATTTGCTAAAATCATTTAAGTTATTTTTTTTTCCTCAATGTACACACAGCACCCCATATTGACAGAAAAACACAGAATTGTTGACATTTTTGCAGAGTGGCAGCAGCTTTCAGGGGCTTCATGGGCTAAGATAAAAAAAAAAACAGGAGGTCAAAAGAGGGTCCCATTTGTAACCACCTGGGTGGAGTGCAATGTGCAAAGCTCAGCACCACTATAATGGTGATCTTTGACCCTCTTTCATGAGCAATCGTGCAGTAAAACAGACCCAGCAAAGCCTGAAGACTCACCAGTAAGAGCGCCTCCAAGTGGCTCAGATAGGCCTCCTCACTGGCCAGGATCCCTGATAAGACCCATTTCCTCATCTCCAACCCTTTTTCGACATCCAACTCCGACTGGGAATATCCATGATGAACAAACACATTAAGGGTTCAGCCAAAAACACATATTCCTGTCTACAGTCTCTAGGAATTCCTCAGTAATCCTCATAAAACCAAAATCCTATCCCATACAGATTTACAGAGGTCAACCATAGGTCACACAATCCCATATACAGATATGAAACACCCCAAAGAATAAAGATAAAGAAAACAAAGGTCAAAAGTTCAGAAAACAAATGTTAAAAGACCCTTAAACCTGAAGTATAAGTAACTACTGACTGAGAATCTAACTGTAGCTATTCGCTTTTTGTATGTTTTTTTTTTTTTTTAAATATAGGCAATGCGCATGTATAATTACATTTGCAATATCAACTGATATAGATAAATCTCTAATATGGGCCAATAAACTATATGGAAACAATACGTCATGCATCTATAACAATAATTATCTTTACAAAATACAATACTGAGATTTATTTAACAACAAAAACACTTGGGAGAGGTGTGTAAACACTATGACTTCAATGAAGGTTAAAGCTAGTTCTCTGTAACTTAATGTCCCTTACTGATTTAGTGGACTCCAGGGACCCCGAGGAAGGGGGCTCCCTAATAATTCGACCCTTCGGGTGAAGGCGCGGAGAGGAGAGGGAGTCATCCGTGTAGGACGCAACGTCAGGCTGCATACGATGGTCCTCACCTCGATCGCCATCATAAACATACGCTGGAGGCGGGGTCCCGCTAAATGAGATGTCTGCAAATGAAGAGAAGAGAGAGGTTAGGTTGACTTACAAGTGTAACATATGATGCTTTTAAATCATATCAGTCATTTTAAATGCATGTATTACATATAATTTATACACAATATAATAACAGTGCATAATTTATCGTCCATTGCCATTAAGCAGCAAACAACCAAAAATGGGTTTTCAGTCAAGGTTTCCATCTTAATTTTAAGTGCTTGAAATAATCAATACATCCTTTACCAGAGTGTCTCATACATCTCTTATCTCTTAATGTAATCCACACAGAGGACCGAAACCTTAGCCAAAAAGACTGAGCTTTTTCCTCTTCGCAGTAAAGACCTTGACGTATAATTGAAAGCAACAGATAAAGTCTGCCAAGCGAAGACAACCAAAGCCGTTAGGAATTCATCACCGATTTCAAATTTATTCTTGGAAACATTATCTACCATCTCTCTGAATCACTGCCTCAATTAAGCATCCTGTTCATCATTAATGCATGACGCCGCAACTGAATTATTAAAAATGTGTGTAGTAAAATGCAGTAACTGAATTGTAATTTTTCCTCTGACAATATGAAGACAGATTTGATGTTTTACTTACACAAAGAATGTATAATACACTGTTCAATGTAATATGTAAAGCTGAAATAAGTTCCTTTGTTTAAGAGGACTCTGGGAACAAGAGAAGAGTTTTTCACTAAACTTCAGCCAACATTTTCTTCATATAATCTGCTTGCTGCTGTGACAGACTGAGTATTTGTTCCACACCTCCAGGGAATATCACTGATTCTAACCAGGAGAAAGAGTTTAAGTCGAGTCAGTTCTTTATTCCTCAAGCCTGACACAACAAATGAACAATGAAAGACTAGACAACTGCAATCATGACGGAGACCCTCTTTTACTGGCAGCGAAAGGACAATATGAAAGTTAGAATCATGACAGCCACTGGTGGAAATGCGAAACCGAAGTCAAAGCAGTCCATTTAGGAGAAGACTGACAAGACCCCATTGAGCGGAAACTAAACCTCTTAATCACTCAAATAGCAATGAATAATTCAACACCATTGTTCTTGTTTTAATTACCATTGATGAGGATTAAGGGCTACATGGATGAATAGCTGCATTAGTGATGCCATTTTAATATACTGAGCATGTTCAGATTTAAAAATGAGGAGCAGCTGCTGAGCTGAAGTCAAACAAATGCACTTCAGCCTAAATATACAAATCAACTGTGTTTAAAAGAATAGTTCAGTACACACTCACTCACACACACACACACACGCACAATGGTTATCATTTACATCAGCTGTGATTCACAGACTGCAGTGACTTGAGACATAATGAATCTTCACAGACTATCCTAACTATTGTGAGTTATCGCTCTGTCTGTATTTGTAGAGCAAGTTGTCTAAACACAGTCATTCATTTCCTGCAGTCTGTGAACAGCTCAGCACCGGTGAGACGTCCAGACGCAAACGTATTGACTATGTGTCTGTCTTATCTGGTGTGCTGATCGGCTCAGTTAAGAAGTCTGATGCTACAGTCAAGAGCTATCTAGATGTACACAAAACATGTGCGCGCGCGCACGCGCGCGCACACACACACGCGCACACACACACACACACACACACACACACACACACACACACACACAACCAAGATCATCAATAATGAAATCCACTCATTGATCCCTCACAGCTCTTGCTCTGTACACAGTGCATTTAAACTAATGTTACTTAAGATACTAAAATTTCAGTAGCCAGAAACAATACCATTGAAAGTTCATTAACAATTTTGATACCACTGCAAAACAAATATGCTCATGAACATATTTCTTCATAAAGTTAGCCTTTAAAAAGGGCACTTGTCAACAGTAACATTAAAGGGGTCCTATTATGCTCTTTAACAAAGTCTTGATTTTGTTTTGGGGGTGTACTAGAACAGGCTCTCATACTAGGTTGTTTGAAAAAAACACATACTTTTTCACATATTTTACATTATTACAACACCTCTCTCCCCAGTCTGGCATGAACGGCTCGAATAGTTCCTGTATCAAATGAAGGCCCGCCTTCTGAAATACGAACTGTGCTGTGATTGGTTAGCTGGGCCAGTGTGTGTTGTGATTGGCAGCACTCGACGCCTGGTCAGGAAATGTCATGCCCCTTACCATAGCCGCCTGCGAGCTTCAATGTAAATATTGCATCAATATCAAATCAACTTGAGCGCGATTTAAACCCGGATGATTGTAACCACTCTAAGTTCGTCTGCCTTGGGAAAGCTAGCATGTCTCCGACATAGTGATAACACTCGTTGCCTTCTCTAGTGCAGCTCAACCAGGTCTTGTCCCATTCGTCGATATTTGTGATATCACAAATCCCGGAAAATATGCGTTGTAGTCCAAACGAGTCGTTCGTTGTAGTTTTTGAAAAGTGATTTCTGTTAAATAAAATAATATCTCCGTTTGAATTGGACTTTGAGCTTTGTAACTTTGCAGATCTTTTTATGGTCAGCATAACAGCAACATTACAGACTAACTAAAGTTGAAAAAGTGAAAGCATAATAGGACCCCTTTAATAGCATAAATATATTATACTAATAATTAACTTGGTGGCACATTAAAATAAGGCTCAATAATCATGAACTAACAGTGCATTTAAATGCAAAGCATTTAATAATAGGTAATGCTGATTATACAAATGCAGTTTCTTACTGTTAACTTCTTTTCTAATACTTTAATGTACATTAAAGTGACACTGAATTGTTAAAAATGTATTAATAGTATTTAGAAATTAACATTAAGATTAACGAAATGCTGAAAAAATTAACAAACTGAACCTTAAGTGATTATTATTTATGTTTATATAATTCTTATTATAAAGTTAGTTATTATTATTAATATAAATATAATATTACTATTAACAAATCTTAAAATTAAAATTTTCCTCTAGATCTTTATCACTGTTATTTATTTTAATCATATTTTTTGAAAAAGGTTAAAAAAAAGCAAAGGCTTAGCGTTGCCGTAACTGCCAATGTTGCATGCAGTTGTTAAGGAGAAGATAAGGCTTTGAATTTCACACTACCTACTAGTTTATACTCCCTCAAACCTATAGGACAGGCCCATACACTCATATCCATCCAGCACAACAACCACTTATATACACAAACAATGTGATTTACATAAAAAGCCCAAAAGACTTTGAAAGATTGAGAGTTTGTTGGCTTTGTGATAATCAGCAGGAAAAGGACATCACCCAGAATTGCTGTTCACTAGTCAGAACTGCAGTGTCTAGTGTCTTGGTTCATTCAGCAGTCAACAGGCTTACATGGGATGACATTAAGAGAGGACAAAGATGGGAGCAACTAGGAGTTAAATCACCTCACTGTGAGAGAACCAGGAAAGAGAGGACTCCGGAAACATGGAGGCAGCCCTGCTGAGTGGCCTGGCATGTAGCCTGCTTAAAAAGACAGAATAATAGAAAGAGCCTGAACAAATAGAGATCAGGAGAAAAGAGGTAGAGGATTACAGAGAGAGATAGCAAAAGAGTGAGAGAAAGAGGTCTCTGCTGTCCCAATGTAGAAGGAAGAGCCATGCCAAAGGGCAGCGTGTGTTTCTTTGTGATTAGCCACTAAAATTGAGCTTATGAGCAAAACAATTCCTGTGGCTAACACCAAGGCCACATAGACTGTGGAAATGGATGTTTCATATGAGGACATCCATAAAATCACCCTAATGTTGTTTCTCCTGTGTGTGCAAATACACTACCGCTCAAAGATTTCAGCAAAGATGCATTAAATTGATCCAAGGTGACAGTAACAACATCTATGATGTTAAAAAAGTATTTCTATTGCACATAAATTGCACTTTCTATTCATCAAAGAATCCTGAAAACAATTATTAGAGTTTCCACAATAATATTAAGCAGCACAACTGTTTTGAACATTGATAAAGCTGCATATTAGAATGATTTCTAAAGGATCATTCGATCATGTGACACTGAAGACTGGAGTAATGATGCTGAAAATTCAGCTCAAAAACAACAACAACAACAAAAATCTTAAAGACCCCAAACTTATAAACAGTACTGTAGTTTTGTAAAGGAAAAAATATAATATGATCCATTTATATTTATTATTCCTTACATATTTTGCAAAAAATATATGTAATTTGCAATGTGTAGACCACAAAAAACATGGTTTTAAAATTAGCATCCAAAACGCCAATCATCCAATGGAATTAGTGTGTGTGTGGAACAGACTCACTGGTCACGGTGACTGTGAATCAGCCATTGAGGAAGTGTGCAGGGATGTCTGACCATGACACTCAACTTTCCAAAGGAAACACATGTTTGAAGCAAGGTCATCTTTCCAACAAAAACACACATTCACACAGACAGCTAGATAGCTAGATAGATAGATAGATAACAATTAAAAACACTGATATCCCTAATAACAAACACTGTTGCCAACTCTCGCGAGACAAATAAGCAACCGCAGCTTCAAAAACAAGCCCAAAACAAGCCCAATATTTTTTGATAATTTATTATCATCAATATTATTTATTATCAATTATTTATTACCAAACAATGAGCCCGCAACATATTAAACTGAAACTACCCTTTTATCTGAAAAGCAAAAACAATCTGCAAACTGCAACAAAGCGGGAACAAAACTCATCTCCAATCACCTGTGAGCAGAATAGGATTGGACAGATGGAAAAGGAGAAAAACACAAGAGCTTCAAAGAGGAGCTGTAACATAGCCACAACCTTCGTTTTGAACGTGATTTTTCTTCAATCCCTCATTGAAGAAAAAAAAGAAGGCGCGTGCGGAGGGGGCGGAATATTTGACAAATTACGCTACAGCACTTACATTTTTCACTGATTGGCTATTAACTGTGAGCAGACAGAGTGTCAATCAATGCATTGGAGAATATAGTGAACATAAATGAAAAGAAATGAAGTTGCTTGTCAGGTTTTCCTAACAAGCAACCATATTTTTTCAAATAAGC